GAATCAATTGAAAAAAAAAATGCACAGTCGCTGTAAAAAAACGAAAATATGTAATTGCACGTTGCAAATTGCATAATTTTCTTTACAAGCAAAATAGCAAAAAAAAAACAGATTACTACGTTATGCTCCCTAGCGCGTGATTTTGCTGTGATATAATTTTTCCCGAAGCAGTAATTTACGAGTGATTTAGGGTAGTCGAGCGACACATCCCGTATGCGTGCATAAAATACACGATAATCCATTTGTGAATTCGTTGCTTCACTCACAACCGTTTTCGTCTCCGTCGGACAGCGTCCATCCATATTCGTTAGGATTAACACAGAAACATGTGCCGTAGAAACGTGATTTTCGAGAAAAACGCAACAATTAACGATCTATGCAGAATCTCGTGTAATTCGTATCTCCATCATTTCGGTACACAAAGTCCGATGCCGATAATCGGTGATATATCGTGGGTTACTGGTGACAGTGCGCGCCCGCCTGTAGCGTACCTGAATGAGCTTACGGAAGTGGTGACCGCTACTCCCCTTATAAAATTACGCGCGCGCCGCGAAGATTTACGGGCAATAACGCGAGAATCTCGGCTGCCCGCGAAACTCGAGGGGGGGGAAAAAACATTGCCGCGGCGCCGCGTAACACAAGAAGGCTATTCCAACGGGTGTAACGTCCGACGTTGGCCCCCGGGTAGGGGTTCGGAAATGGAACGACATCCGATAGCGGGCCGTCGGCCGTGAGAACCACTTTGCCGTCGCACCGCTCATTGAGGGCGGATAGGTAGGCAGGCGGCTGCCAGACTTGGCCTTTCACACATCGCGGGGCTCAGGAAAGGCGAGGGCTCTTATAAAGAACGGAATTGCTTTCTCGAGAAACATGCCCCGCTTCCGCGGCAAAGAACGTACGAGTGGGTGCCTGAATTACTTTTAGCTGCAGATATATTCCTCGGAGGGACGATTTCTCCCGCGAGATATTCATCTCCGTCCAAATTCGCGACTCTGAATGGGCCGGCGACGGCGGCGGGGCACATACTTTTCCTCTCCTAGGAGATAACGTGATTTATCAGAATACAGGCTTGCCGTGCACTTCTTTTCTCTTCGGTTCTGCCGGATCTCTGTAACGAGGGGAGGAATTGAAAGGACTAATCGAAATTCTTCAATGTCGCCAGCGGTAATTAACAACGTCAGTGTTTCCTTGACCACACCTGGCATCTTTGATCAGACAGAAAATTTATTGCGAAAAATATTACCTCGGCCAGGGACCTCCCTACGGGCGTCATCGGTGAGACGCCCGCCTAGAGTGTAGGGAGAGGCCCATGTTCAAACCCTGGCGGCGGTCATATTTTTCGCAATAAATTTTCTGTATTATTAAAGCATGCCCCGGGTATGGTCAAGAAAACACCGACGGAAGAATTAAAATTCCTGTACCGCGACAGAAATGGCTACACGCGAAAACCGACGACTAAGTCTCCGCCCTGTTTTATCCCCCAGGATTTTCACACGAGTGGCTTTCGCGCGGCGATAATGAAACTTTTGACACTTTTCAAGTGCAACGGGCCGTCAATAAATGTGAAATGCTTGATTAAGATTGTGTTCATCACGGGGATGGGACAATACGTTCTGATCCACATTACTTGCGCCGAAGAGACCATTTCTCGCAACTTGATATTCCACTTCGGGGCTTTATCTAGACAGGTTGATGAATTATTGAATTGTGCCGGTATAACGGTAGACGCCACTTACGAGAGCTCGTCAATGATGTACACTCGACACTCGACGGGCATAAAAATGTTCGGACACGTGGCGCGAATCGTCGAGTGTACGTGCATCAAGGGAAGATGAAGCGATAGTCGTGGTAGTCGGTAAGGAAAGTCTATATATACACGCAAGTCGGTTTGCTATCGCCGTTACAACCGCGAGACAGGGTGATGCTATGTTAGGAGTTGAATCGATGGGTTTACAGTAAAATTTTCTTATAACCTCCGTTCTCGCGAAAATTGGATCGAAATGTGGCATCGTGTTTCCTGCCGAGCTTCGTGCATAACTTTCGACGACACTGCGCTATTAGTGGATTCGATTCAGCAGCATCTCGTTCCTTTGTCTTTCTCGCCCGCACACGCGGATAAAAATAATACTCTATTTAAGGAAATAAAAACGGTGTTGGTATTTTACTGGAATATCGCCAATCATTCGATCTGCAATTATTTTGTAAAATGGAGCGCTAGGTTTTTCTAGCTGTATTTTTCAAAGCCGCGTTTTTACAGTCGCTATTAATAGACTCCGAGCGATTCGCGTTGCAATATAATTAAAAATTGTCAGAGTACAAAGGTGACAGAAGAATCGCGATTTTTCGGGATTTTCGTGATTAATCGCGGACGAATTTCACGTTTCCACGTATCTTATATAGTCTTAATTAATTTTTTTTAATACGAGATTATCAGTTCCACCATTTCAACTTTGATAACTTTTCTGGATATCTTTTCAACGCGAAGAGAAGAAGAATGAGAAAAGTTTGTGCAGAGCACGGTGTAACGCACAAGCCGGGGCGAGACTTTATTTTGTTGTCCAGTGAGAATTCGCCCAATGAATTCGTAATCTCCCATAGGATTATTCATTCGACACGCGTCGACTGCGACATGAAAAGGGCGAGGGAAATTAATAATCAATGGGACGCGGGGATATTTTTTTTCCGCGCGCACGCATTACGGCAAGCGCGTCTTCCCTTGAATGAAAATTGACCTGCTTTATTTCTAAACGAAATGTATAATATCTCGTCGAAGCCCGAGGAGAATTTTAACGTTTTCCATTGTTACGTCGTTACACAATGGCGTCTCGACAGAAGCGCGTGGTTTGATATTTGTTACGCCGTGTTACGCGGCGTACATTATACGTTTGCCTCAGATGAGCTCTATTCTATTCATTTTGATGATTCGCCAGGGGATATTTTAATACATAAACTGTGAGCGTCATTCGCGCGTCGCCCGCTGAATTTGTTTCAACCGTGTTATTACGGTTCCTAGTTACACAGCTACCTCCGTAGTTACATAAAAGTGAATAAACCGCGGAACTAATTAACGCACGTTTCATGCGGGCAAAAGATTTCGCGCAACCAAATTGAAGATAGTCGAACTATTAATGTCGCGCTCCCGGGAAAGAAATTACTTTCGCCCGCGGAATTACGCTCAAGTTCCTCCCGCGGGGTAATTTTATTTGCATACATTTCCATGATCTGGAAAAGTAGAAATATCGACCGTACAATTTAACATAATTAATTTGCACCTTCGTTTGAACGCTAATTATACGTTAGGGTACATTAAGTGTACCTAATCGCACGTAATCGCTCGATTATTTAATATCGAGAGCCACGCCGAGAGCGATTCGAAGCGGCGCCGTTTGCTCGGCAGTTCGCGGCCGGTGCCTCGCGACGCGAGAGTTAATAAAAGTCTTGGATATTTACTCCCCCCGCCCCCCGCGATTTTCTCTTTGCTGCACTTTGTTTATCTGTGCTTGAAGACGATGGGAAAACCACGATGCGGCCGCGCTATACGCGCATTCTTGCGTTACGTGCACGGCATCGATAAGTCTTCCCTCTCGTTCCACTTTGAAATATTAATTTATGTGATATCCGCTGCGCGAACAAAGTCTGAAGTTGAACTTATGATTCACGACTCTCCGGTATCAACAATATCGCGAGGGTTTCTGCTTTGGTACTGGTTTCCTTGGAGACCGCATGAAACCGACCGCAGGAAAACGGAGAAGATGGGGAAACATCATTACCACACTTTTCTTACGTTACGGCACTCCGCATCTCGAACCTTTGACTGTCTCAGCAAATAGATACTTAGCTAAGACGGCTCTCGATATTAAAAGTAACAAACAAACAAAAAACAGCGGGCACCGAGAGGTAATAAACAGCGGGCTCGGGGAGCGGGAGGGGGTAATAAGTGAAATTAATTAATGAACAGAAAAGCGGTCATTGAGAGGCTGCGCGGTCACCGGTGCGTGATTTATTCCTACAACGTTCTTTAATCAGTAATAAACGTAATTACACGCCGAGCGTTTCGGCGCTACTTTAAGCCACATCTTCAACGATGCGGTAACAAGCAAAATAGAGTAACCTCGTGTTCTCTAACGAGCCGGATGAGTGCTTTTCATATTGAATGTATTTCGCGCGTATATTTCGCGGGTGAGATCCGAGTGGAACTTTCGCTAATGATCGTAGCGCGGAGGGTCCGAAAAACGTGACAGTAAAAAATGGGGCTTCGGTTAAAACCTGGAGTAACTCCATATCTTAACAAAAAGCGATCGGTAGAATTGAATTAGTGGTTGTCGAAAGACAGTTACGATGTAAAATGAAAAGCTAGACGGTATAGATAGAAAACCAGGTGGACGAAAGCTATAAAACGATAAATTGGGAGGTGAACCTTATCTCGGTTACCGTTACATTGGACTATTCTTCCGTGGCTCGTCGGGGAACGAGAGATTACCTTATTTTACCGCATCGTCGAAGATGACTCGAGGTAGAGCCGTGACGCTCCATGTACAATTACGTGTCTTATTACTAATTAATGAACGCTGGCAGAAATAACTAACGCAACGCACCGAACTCTCAATGCTCCCGTTTCCGTTTGTTACTCCTCTGATTTTCTATTTGCGGTCCACTTCGCTTTTCGTACTTTGCTTTTAGTTCCTTTTGCTCGCGAGTATATATTTTCCCAGTAACTACTTTAGGATCGGCTTCACGGAATTAAAGGTCGAACTGTATCTCTATTTCCCCTGGTACTTGTAGAAAATCGAAGACAAAACGCGAGGTATTTTTAGAGATAATTACGAGGGGGGAATACCGTGGATTTCATTTTATCGCCGCGGTAAAAAGAAATAACGACGAGTAAAATTGCGTGTAAACGCTGCCTTCGAAAGGGGACAAAATGCGTGCCGAGAACTACTGTTTCTACGGGGTACACCTCGCCCAATAATCTCCACTTCATCAAGGTATCTCCAACTTACCCGATGCATGATCGCGGCTCGCATTATCAACCGGCCGATTGTGTCTGCCCAGCGCGTCTAGAGTCCGCGGGAGACAGCGGGGGAAAGTGTACAAACGGAACGCATCGAACTCGCGCGATGCGGCAGGAGGGGGAGGGGGAGAAATTCGCGCGATGCCGGGAGTGAGAAGGGTACGAGGGAATGCGAAAGTTTCCAAAGTTCCGCGGAGCGGTTTACGGCGGGGCACACGCTCGGAGCGTAGATCGATAGTGACGTGGCGAGATAAGCCAGGAGGAAAGCGAGGAAAGAATGCGAGGGAGGGAGGAAAGTGAAGGTGGAAGGCCGCGGGCACGAGAGGCACGCACGCACGCACGCACTCGATGTGTTCGCCACCGGCGCGCACGCAACAGCCTGGGGAGGGCACGTCCTCACGCCACGAAGGCCCGCGCAGCACTGACTCTTTCTACTGGGCGCTCACTCCGCCGTGGTCCGCGACTCGACTCGATATGCGAGAGGGCGAGAGAGAGAGACGAACGCGGCGCGCATCACGGCGGAGCGAAACTGATAACCAGGGGGCTCGCTTTGGCGGGTGAGTAGCTAATGAACCGGAAAATCGGAATAATACGGACGACACACGTTTATACGGTTTGCAGTGCGAGACAATGCAGTTTTGGCCAGATGCATCTTTCCCGAAAAAGAACGGCGTCGAACTTGCGAAGATTGTATCTCGATTTTACGCAATTTCCGGCTTGTTCTGGTCCAGAATGGAACGCTCAGGCAGAAAAACCGAAGGCAATAAACCGCTGAGGACATTGTGGTGTACAGATTTGCGGCGTTACTGGCCTTGCTGTGGTATTAGAAAGATAAAATAAGATAAAACAAGATAATGCCCGCTGGGCGTTCGTATAGGCGTTGGTTGTACATGATTTTGGTCAGCGGTTTACCCCCTCGAGAAAAAACCGAAAATTGCGTAAAATCGAGATACGATCTTGCGAAAGAAATCAGTCGAGGGGGAAACCACTGAGGGTATTGTGGTGTACAGATTTGCGGCATTACTGGGCATTACTGGGCATTTTTGGGCATTAGGCCTTGCTGGGGCATTATACAGATAAAATAAGATTAAGTAATGCCCACTGGGCATTAGTGGGCATTGGTGTACAAGATTTTGCTCAGCGGTTTCCCCCTCGAGATCGGTCGATTTGTCGCGAGAATCTTGGTCGCGAACCGGCCCACGGGGTGACCTGCGCGGGAGACGCGAGTTCTATCTGGATGCGACATACGCGCGGAATTAGGTATAACGCGCGATTGGGCGTTGTTTGAGAATTTACGTTAATGAAATATAATTGCGTTTACGGTTCATTTGAACAAGTCGATTTCCATTTATGTCATTTTACACACTCGTAGATTAAATTATTCGACGGTATCCATACGGCTCGTATGTAATAATACGTTATATTATTAACGTTTACCATGTTTCTCTCAAAAGCGCGCCGCGCTTCAAACGCGGCGACGTGTACAAATACGCAGCGAAATCAATACCGATCTGAGGCACGGTTGATTTTACAAACGTCGCGAGTCGCCGAGGGTTTCGCGCCGAGCCAAACGAACCTCAAACAATCGGCCGTGATCAAAAAGTGGCGGGCTCTGATTGACGGGGCGCCTATTCTCATCGCGATTACTAATCGCCTCCATTGGCAGCCGGCTTTCGAGGACAACGCGCCGAGATCAATTGATCGATTATCCGTAATCAGATAACTTACACTCGAGCAGAATTTCGAAAGGTCAGACGAAGCTGTCCGCTCGTACGGCCACCCTCGTACGCGGGGACACTTTGCTCCGCTCGCTTGCTCGCCAAAGCCTCGCGGAAGCAAAGCCTACGGATCTCAAGGATCGATTTGTGCGACGGTATTGCACTGTATAAACCTGTCATTGTAATCGTTATTATTTATGAATGGCATCGGCTACGCCGCGCGATCCCCCGATCGTGATTAATTTTATGCGTTATGCATGTAGACGGCTAATTCTAATTGCCATTTAACGAGATGCCTAAGAGATTAAGCGCATTTACGAGGGTGCAAGCTAATTCGTTGCAACAACATTACGACACGGTGTCTAATTAGACGCCACATCCTAGGTAATTGTAATTACGAAAAATATATCGCAATTATTGCTGCTCGAGACGCCCGAAAGATTAACAAAGCGCATCTGCGAACGTAAAATGTTGCCGCAATAACATGACGATGTGCGGCACATAATTATGCATTACGGCTAATTATAATGACGAGAAATAGCGCGCATCGTCGTGTCGGCGAGCCATATCGGGCCCGGGGTGTACGGTTTACCGTTTCACGAGGCCGTAAATTAACATACGACAATAATTCGGCAATCTTTTATTAGCCCGCGCGGCGCGCTACATTTTACTTCTCAATCTATATTAATACCCGTGACTCTCGAATATACTTCTCTTTAGCGCGGGCATACGTCAAACACGTGTTGCTACGCAATTCGTTACGTTCGCGCGGCCGTCTACTCGTCGGTGGACGGTTCGCCGAGTGCCAAGGGCTTAATTTGTGCGGAACGAGAGATTAATCTGGCTTTAAAGCGATTTTGATACGCCCGACCGTTTCCGTCTGTCCCGCGGGGACGGATCGTCGAGTGCCCCGGCATCCTAACGACGTGCGGTTCGAGCGCGCTCGTATTAAGGACGAGTCGTCGCGCGCACGCACGACGAAACGAAAAAAAGAAAAGAGAAAAAAAAGCTGAATAAATTCCGCCGCTTTGACATTTGACAATGAAACAGTAGCCCCGAGTGCACTCGACACACGCATTCGCAACGCGGCGCGTGCAACTAATAACACCGCACTCGCGACAGTGTCTGTGGGAGAAAAAAATATACAGGGGCACTTGAAATTACTATCTCGATTTACTTCGAAATTGCAATCTGTTGGAAAGGGCGAACAATGGCGCGACGGTGAAACAGTGATTGGCTCGGGACGAGAGCGCGAGCTCGCGTTACATTCCTCGAGGGTAGATTCGCGAATTAGCTGGGTAATTAGCGTCGATACTTTTTCTCTCTTTCGCAGTAAAAAGTTGGTCTTTGACGCTTCTCGGCGCGAATCGCGTAATATGGAAATTGGCCCCCGGAGGGAAAGGATGCAGTTTGCACGCGGCTTATCCTCGCGAGCGTTGCAATAATGCGTGGCCGCTCGCGCGCATTGTTTGTTTTAATCAGAATAAAATGCAGGACGCGCGGCTGGCGTGACGAAAATGAAGAGCCACGCGCCGGCGAATATATCGATCCCACGTGTCCGGCTCGTTTTGCGAAATTTATATACCCGGGTAATACTAAGGTTTTATATATGACACGAGGTCTGTTGGTCACGAAGGGCGTCGCGTTCGGGACAAGAGAACAAATTGTCAAGGTTGCAGTCCCGGCGGGATTAATGGATTGGGTCGGGCGAATCGGGGAAATGTACCTTCTCATGCAATATTGCGTCCACCTGTAATATTAAACGAAGCGTTGCACGCCGTTAGTGCGATAATTGAGGCGCGACCGCCGGGTTGATTTTCATTTTTCTGACGCCCCTCCGTGATATGCCTATACGAATGCGATTAAAATGCGGAATTATTTCCTCTTTCTCTCCCTCCGTCAATTAATCTCCATGCTGCAAAATAATTCGTTTGTCAAAATGTATGCGTGCAATGCGGCGAACGTTCATTTGTGCAAATACTCGAAAGAATGATATTTAATTATAAAAGTGCGACCAGTGATATTACGTGCGTTAAATAATTCGCCCCCGCGTAAAATAACATTCAACAATATTTAGTAGCGACAGGTATTCGACGGGCGTCCGTTTGATCGGTTTATACACGTAAGCTGCTCCTCCGTTAAACATTTCGAGGGAATTTTTGCGCGAGCGTCGACGAAGTAACGGCCGCGACATTTTACGAGAATGAGGGAGAGTACTCGTCGCCTGTCGCCTCTCAGCCGCTCCGTCGTTTATTGCATGTGTAACATTCATTAACTGTCCCCTCGTTCACCTGGGAACAAAAAGATCATCGTGACACGGCCGAGTCGAACGCCCGAATCCCCGGCGGGACTGGAAAACGTATACCGCGGGTTACACACGCGAGTGTTCTATTTTCGAATCCATTTCACGTCCGCGGAGACCCAGGCGCATCCGAATGGACGAAAACCGTCCGTCACTTCGGCAATCTAATAAATATCGACGTGATACATCGCACACGGCGGCGGTTCCTCCATCTCCTGCGAGAATTCTCCAAGAGCTCTTCGCCTGCTCTCCCCCCTCTCGCTCCCTCACCCTCTCCGAGTCTCGCCCCCTATAACTCGATAGATATATATGGCCGCGACGCCGAAGCGTTACAGAGACCGACCCAATTCCCCCCCCGAATCCAGTATAACGACTACGCTTTTGACCGGGTCTTCGTGCGCTGCACTCCGGAGACAATCTCGTTAGTCGCCGCCGTCGACTACGACGGCAATGGAAAAACTAATCATCTGCTCCAAAGCCTTGGGGGTTAATGGTGTGCCCAAGCGACAACTCGTGTTTTTTTTTAAATTCATGACACGTCTTAGCGTGTGACGGTCTTAACGAGATTACCGGCGCTACTCTCTAGCGTGACCTCCATCGCGTTGTCTTTCACCTATGGATTCTTTGACTAATTTCGTATCGATTTTTCATTAATGATAATGTCAAAGACAGAGAGAAAGAGAGAGAGAGAGAGAGTAAATAGTTTCTTATCTGAGGCAGCTGCTGAGGAAAGTGGAGCGCCATCGAATTTTCGTAGAGAAAAAAAAGATGGGAAGAAATTTATGGAAAAGATTGGCCGGTTATATCGGCACGAGACGCGCTTGCGAAATTAACAGGTTTAATTTAGTCATCAAATAATATTGTACCGACACAGTTTCAACATTTTATGGCTGGTCGAACATCTTGAATTTGCTCGGGCTGTTACGCGACGTTCATTGAATTAGGAACAAATTTTTGTAATTGTCAGACATTCCAAATGACATTTTGCTTATATGCGCTTTAGATGCTTATTTTATAAGGTAGAATTGGGCGGTCTGTTTTTTTCCCCGGTGAATTTTTACTCGAAAAGAAGGGGAAGAGGGCGAGGAAACGACCCACGGTTCTAAATGATTCTACGACGCTTCACGTCGTGCCAGGTAGACATCGCCGGCTCTCTTCTCTGCGGGTCAATGCCTATCGACTATTTTTACCTTATAGGAAGGGTCTCGCTGCTCTCAAAGAGAGGCATTCATATATAATCCCCTTTAAATATTCAAAGAAAGATGCAAAAGTCGCCTATCATTCCATGTGTCCCGTGCAACTTCGAACATATAACTTTTATTCGAGGAAGTTGTTACTTGTTTCACAAAGCAACATTCCAGCGCTTGTTATTCTATAACGCGCAACTATTGTAGGAATAAATCTGATAACTTTCTTCAAAGGACTATTATAAATATGCAGTGATGATCGGACAAAAGCCATTTAGTACAATACAATATTTAAAAAATGAGATGTTGAAACAAAAGGGTAAAATATCTTTAGGTGATCTAAAATAAATCGGAAAAGTAACAAACATGTGTCCGCGTACGTTTTCGAGGTACTTTTATTTTTTGTTCGGCTACCTAGAGTTATTTTTATTTAATTTAAGGTACAAATTTTATTATAAATTAGTAATGTTTTTCGCCTTACCTTATTAGACCCAAAACGACGCCTTTCATGTCTATACAGGCCTCCGACGATCTCGAGGATATGAGAATCCTCGCGGAGCAAGAATCTTATTGTTCCAACAGTCTGTCCCCCTTTGAATTATTTCAAATGGCCGAAGGCCGGCACAGCGCGATTCGAACGAATTACCGGGAATAACTTCGTGATCGCGTATTTGTCGCGTTTTTCTCCACTTTTAATCGTCGGCGAGACAGCTGCAATAACGC